GTTTCAGAAATAATGGTTGGTTCAGACGAAGTGAATACGACCTCCTTTTCCTCTATGTTCTGGTATGTTTCCTTTGTGATTCCTCCATAACTGACTTCATTTGATCCTTCCACGTTCATGCCTGCCTCAGCGATCTTGTTTGGAATTTTAGAAGTAAAGGTACGTCCTGTGAGTTCTCTCCTATGGACGGGCGAAAATCTGACTGTCATCCCCTCTTTCAATTCTCCCCAAGTTTCCATGGGTTGACGGCGATCTAACCATTGAAACTACTCCTATGCTTCACTGTCCAAGCATGCTACAATGGCTTCCACTTTTTCCTTCTCCAACAATTGATTCCTTGAGAAAATTTTGTCTGCTTTTCCTAGCCACCAATCTGGATCGTCATCATAGAATATTGATATTCTTAGTCGACCTAGTAAATCCAATCCCAAATCCTTTTCCCAATCTCCCCTTTCCTGTTGCAACATCTAGCAGTCAAATCGACTCATTAATGAGTTCCATTTTTCCTCCCATTCCTTGCTAAATTTTCTTTTCATTTGATACCAATTGATAGCTTTTTGATGGCTGATATTAGTTCTATAGCTATTGGTGTTGTTGGAGAGACTTCCTGCTTTGGGTTAGCTGCTGTGGTAGTAGAATTTATTATATTAGTGAAGGATGTATGATAATCTCTAGATTAATAAGTAGTATGTATAGAGTGGTCTAGAATTTGTAAGGTAGAGAACAAGTTGTAATTAAATGCTATATTGAAGTTTAATAAAATGTGAATGACAATTCCAAGGATTTCAAGAGGCCTTTATCACTGCCCACTTTTCTAAACAAAATTTACTGAATGAATCCTCCTCCCATTCCCCCTATCACATTTATAGACATTTTATTATATTCCTATTACCCTTTTGCCCCTTTGCTGACAAAGTGGAATATTCTAGAATATTGGATGACTTGGCAACCTTCATATTGGTTGATCCTTGCAAACCAATTGGAGATCTATCAAAATGCTTCCTACTTTGGAAGAATTTCAAGTAAATCATTCAAGATACAACTCAGTTTGCTTTCAATTTTTCACCCATCAACAAAAGAACACCTAGATTTCTTTGGAGAAAATAATATAAAGGGGGGATATTACAAATGGTTTGAAATTTAATGTTTTACCCCATTTGGTTGCCTACGTTGAGAAAAATTGGTTATTTGTGTGTAGATATTTATCAATTAACATAAACATAATCAATTAAATGGCATAAATATAATTCAACAATAATATAAAATAAGAAGAATATTAGAAAAGCAAGTTTTGAGAGTCACGTTGAAGAAGCTGTCCTAAAGTTGTGTTGTCTTCCCTTCGTGTGGGTTGTTTCGGTATTACACGGCTCCAAGATAAAATCCATGTGGTTCACAATTGGTTTTCCTTCTATGGGTATGACTATAAAAAGATAAGTGAACGAGTCTCTCATCCAGTTGCCAAAATATAGAAATATAGTATGAATTGTATAGAATGTTTATCTTCCAAGTTGTGATTAATTTATTTGTATGAAAATCAATCCCTTTTATAAGGAAAATTTCAACCCCCACGTTCATCGAATTAAATCCAATTTATACACCTATAACATTAAGGGGCTTTAATTTTTGTAAAAACTGCAAATTTTAATTGGTTGAAAGATTAAAACTTATTTTTTTATATTTTACAACATATTAGACTCAATGTAATTGTAATTAGCAAACAATCCACAAACACTGGAAGAGATGAATAAATTAACTTAGAAAACTTCACAATACAATATTTTCCTCAAATACTTTCCCCTCTTCATTGCTGCATGCATTAATAAAAAATGGAATTTACAGGAAAATCCTTTATGAACTCAAGGCAAGTTCTTTTTTTTCTTTAACCTAATATTATTTTACATCTTCACATTGTTCCTTTTGAAACTTTGCTCAATTCAATTCTTCAATTTGGTCCATGTTTACTGTAATGATCTGGAAATTATGTCAAGTAATCACCAAAAAACAAAAAACAAAAAAAAAAAATTCCTTATTCCTTTAGTCAATGGCTGAATTTTCTTCACTTGAACGTAAATTCATTAGCCATCAATTCATATTGCATGCCAAGTCTCTCAACTTAGATATACGTTGACAATATAAATTGAGTCAAACGAGTTTATTGATGAAATAGTTACAATCGATTACCAATGTAAACACAATAAACAAATCCTCTCACATCACTGTGTCTTGTACTCCTAAATTCACTGGTCTCGATACTCCAATTAGAATAAGAGGAAAAATAGTTATTTGAGAGGAAGATAATTGAATTGCATAAATTCTTCTTCAAATGAGCAGATATTTCTAGATTTTTCTTCAAACTTTGCGGTAATTTGGTCATTTTGAAAGAATCATAGGTGATGTTTCCTTGTTGACTATCTGTAGCTGATTCGATTAATATTTACGTTTTGTTCACTTACCCATGTTTCTTTATTAACAACCTGTAGCTGACTTGGATAGGAAAAAATGGCAAATGATCTTTAGCAATTGACCAAATGGGTTCGCAGGCTTTACTTCAAAGGTTAACAAATAGCCCCCCAATTTCGGTTTTAATATTTATATTAATTCTAGAACTTATTATTTATTTTGATGCATTGCGAACCCATGGTTGCTCATATATTTTTCTCCACTAATCGTAGGTGTCGTGGATCGTTATGAGGAGACAAACTATGATTGCTGCAATCAGGTCTTTTGGCATATCTCTAGGCTGATGGCCCATGCATGTCAGATACAGTTAATTGAGTCCATTCTTTTTAGAATTCTTAATTAGATGTCTCTTAATATTCGGTGGCTGCGACTGTTCGTGTAATCTAGTCAACTGTGACTTATTTAGACATGTAATCTAATGATTCACGTCTCTTTCTAGAACATACAAATATGGTATTTCTCCTTGTGGGATTCTTTTTTACACCATTTTGTTGGCCATTTCTCCTAGTGTCTTCAAATTTTCTTCTACCAACGTATCTTCCGCAAGTGATTCTCAAAATATTTCTTAGGGATCAAAGATTGAAGGTTCTCAATTCAAGGATTCTTCTTCTGATGTATCTTCTTCTCCGGATGGATCCTAGCATCTTGAGTCACAGTCATGTCTATCTATGAATCCTTTATCTTCTAGGACATCCAATCACTTTCTGACCAAGGTGGTAGTTCCCAATATAGGGCTGATAAGGCTCATGAGACTTCGGCTATTGGTGATAAAGAGACTTTTGATGCCTTTGAGATATTTTCAAATATTATTGAGAAAGATTTGGGTGACATTTGGAATTGCTTTAGTGTCCTCGGTGATATAGAGCTAATATGTCCTAGGCAGCTTCAAACTACGAATCATGCCTCCCATAATTATATTGATGTTCATAAGTGTTCACTAAGTATGGGGCTTAGACTTCTTTTTCACCATTTCTTTCGCATCATCCTTTCTTCTTTTAACATTGTCCCCATGCAACTTACCCCGAACGGATGGGGCTATATAGTTGAGTCATTTTGGAATATTGCTTGTATGAAGGGAGATCGTCTTCTAGATTTTTTCTTTCCATTTACAATCTGGTGAGAGTGGGGAATACCACACATCCACAAAAGAGGTATAATTATTTTGCTCTTCTCTATCTCAAAATATGCCCAAAGCTCATCACCACTTCCAATGATCCTCATCCTACAATGGTCATAACCCATTTTTACAAT